GCTGGGTATATCAATACGTTGTTCCTTTTTATTGCTGAGTAGTGGTCTATGGCACGGATGAACCATTCACCCACTGAAGGACATCTGAGTTGTTTCCAGTTTTTGGCTATTACAAATAAAGTTGCTATAAACATTCACATACAGGATTTTATCTGAATGTGGGTGCTCACTTCTCTGGACTAAATGGCCAGAAGTGTAACTGCTGGATCATATGGTAACTGCATGTTTAGTTTTTTAAGAAACCGCCAAACTGTTTTCCAGAGTAGCTGTACCATGATGCATTCCCACCAGCAATGTATGAGTAATCCAGTGTCTCCTCATCCTTACCCACATTTGGTGTTATCACTATTTTTCATTTTAGCCATTCTAACAGATGGGTAGTAATAGGTAATTGTGGTTTTAATTTGCATTTCCCTAACGCCTTATCATGTTGAACATCTTTTCATGTATTTGTTATTATTTGGTGAAATCCATGTCTTTTGCCTATTTTCTAATAGGGTTGTTTGCTTTTTTTACTTTTGGGTTTTTGTTTAATGGTAACTATATGGATAAATTTATTATTTTTGTGTTGCATAAATAGATAAATTGATATGTAAATAGATAATTGACATTTAAACAACAATAGCATCAGGTTGGGTTGATAACATATACAGATGTTAAGCATATGACATACTGTTGGGTCTTGAGAATCCTTTACATATTCTAGATACTAGTGCTTTGTTGGATATGTGGTTTACAAATATTTTCTCATTTTGTACCTTATCTTTTGATCTTATTTATTTGCTTATTTATTTTCAAAGACAGGGTTTCACCATGTTGGCCAGGCTGGCCTCGAACTCCTGACCTCAGGTGATGTGCCTGCCTCGGCCTCCCAAAGTGCTGGGATTACAGATGTGAGCCACTGTGTCTGGCCATCTTTTCATCTTCTTTAACAGAGTATTTCACAAAGCAAAAGTTTTAAATTTTGGTGAAACCCCGTCTCTACTAAAACTACAAAAAATTAGCTGGGCATGGTGGCGCGTGCCTGTAATCCGAGCTACTCAGGAGGCTGAGGCAGGAGAATTGCCTGAACCCAGGAGGCGGAGGTTGCGGTGAGCCGAGATCGCGCCATTGCACTCCAGCCTNAAAAAAAAAAAAAAAAAAAAAAAAAAAAAAAAAATTTTGATGAAATCTACTGTATAAATTTTTCCTTCTATAGATTGTACTTTTGGTTTCAAGTCTAAGTACTCTTTGTTTAACCCTAGATCCAAAAGACATCCTCCTATGTTTTAAGTTTTATATTTAAGTTCGTGAGTGAATTTTTTATTAAGGTGTGTGTGGTTTTTTTGTTTTTTTTTTTTGCCTAATTGTTCTATTTTTTTTTCTGCTTAGTTTTTTATTAAGGTGTGAAGCTTTTTTTTGGTCTTAATTGCTCTAGTACCATTTGTTGAAAAGGGTATCTTGCTTTTATTTAATTATTTTTCACCTTTGTCAAAAACCAGTTGTGCATATTTGTGTGGGTTTATTTCTGTCTTCTCTATTCTGTTCCGTTGATTGATATGTCTTTTCCTTTGCCAATGATACACAGTCTTGATGACTGTAGCTATACAAGTTTTTATATTGGGAAAAATGATTTCTCCCATTTTATTGTTCCTTTTTAAGACTGCTGTTGGCTATTTTAGGATCTGTGCTGACTATCTATCTATCTATCTTAGAATAAAGCATGTCTATGCCTACAAAAAACCATGCTGGGATTTTGATATAAATTTCATTAAACAACAGATCAACTTGGAGGAACTGACATCTTCACTTTGTTGAGATCCCAAGGAATCTTAAGAAAATTATGGAGAAAATCCCAAGGAATCTTACATAGAAAATCTTGGGATTTTCTACATAAATGATCATGACATCTGCAAATAGAGATAGTTTTCCTTCTCCTTTCTGAGTGCTGTGTATTTCTTTTTCTTGCCTATTGCAGTGGCTAGAACTTCTAATGCTAGGTTGAATAAGAGTAATGAGAGCAGATATCCTTGTCTCGTTCCTAATCTTAAGGGACAAGCATTCCGTCTGTCACCATTAGGCACGATGTTAGCTGTAGGCTTTTTGTAGTTGTTATTGTTTATTGTTTTTTTTTTTTTGAGACAGGATCCCAGGCGAGTCCCATCCTTGTTGAGTAGATAGAGCTCAGCCCCTTTGAAGGCAAATTGTAATATCTTTTTTTAAAAAAAATTAATTTTTTTTTGAGACAGGATGTCACTCTATTGCCCAGGCTGGAGTGAGTGGCACGATCACAGCTCACTGCAGCCTCAACCTCCCAGGCTCAAATGATCCCCCTGACCTCGGCCTCCCAAGTTGCTGGGACTACAGGCAACTTGTACAGATGGGGTCTCACCATGTTGCCCAGGCTGGTCTTGAACTCTTGGGCTCAATGATTCTCCTGTGTTGGCCTCCCAAAATGCTGGTATTACAGGTGTGAGCCACTGTGCCTGGCCTATATTTGTTCTTTATCAAACGGTGGTAATTACCTGCTATTCCTAACTTGCTGAGAGTTTTTATCATGAAGGTATGCTGGACTTTGTGCAATGCTTTTTCTGTGTCAATTGATGTGATTATATGGATTGTCTTTTTTAGCTTCTGATACGGTGATTACATCTTTTTTTGTTTTCTTTCTGAGACAGGGTCTTCCTTTATTGCTCAGACTAGGATGCAGTGGTGCAACTGCAGCTCACTGCAACCTCAAACTCCTGGGCTGAGCAATCCTCCCACCTCAGCTTTCTGAGTATCAAGGAATACAGGCACATGCCACATGCCTGGCTCTTTTGTTTTAGAGATGGAGTCTCACTATATTGCCCAGGCTGGTTTCAAACTCTTAAACTCAGGTGATCCTCCTGGCTCAGCCTCCCAAAGTGTTGGGATTACAGGCATGTGCCACTGCATCTGACCTAGATTATACTGATTTTTAAATATTGATCCATTTGAAATGCTCAGTATCTGAAATAAATCACACTTGGTTATGAAGTATAATTTTTGCTAAATTTTGATGAGAATTTTTGTGCTCAAGTTTGTGAGAGATATTGACCTATATTATTCTTTTTTAATATACTGCCTTTGTTTGGTCTTGGTATAAAGGTAATACCAGCCTTATAAAATAAGTTGAAGTGTTCTCTACTCTTCTCTGGAAGAGATTTTTTAAAAAATTGGTATTAATCCTTTCTCAAGTGTTTGGTAGAATTCTTCAATGAAACCATACAGGCCTGGAGATTTATTTTTTGGGAGCGTTTAAATAACTAATTCCATTTCATTGTAGTCATAGGGCTATTCCAGATGATCTGTTTCACTTGGGTTGAGTTTTAGTAGTTTGCGGTTTTCAAAGAATTGCTCAATTTCTTCTAGGTTGTCCAATTTTGAGTGTAAAATTGTTCGTAGTATTCATTTATTATTCTCATAATGGCTTTCAGATCTGTAGAGATACTCCTGTTTCACTCTTGGTGATTTGTGTCTATTCTCTTTTTATTGTTGTCAGGCTTGTTAGAGGCTTATCAATTTTATTTCCTTCAAAGAACCAGCTTCTTGTTTAATTGATTTTATTTTCTTATTTTTCATTTCACAATTTTCTTTTTATTATTTTCTTCCTTTTGCTTTATGTTTATTTTGCTCCTTTTTTCAGTTTCTTGAGGTAGAAACTTACAGGATTGATTTGAGGCCCTTTTTTCTCCTAATGTAAACATTTAGTGCTGTAAGTTTTCTCTAGTGCTGCTTTAGCTGCTTCCCACATATTTTGATACATTATATTTTCATTTGCATTCAGTTCTATATATTTTTTAATTGCTTTGAGGCTCCAGGACATGAATTACCTAGAAATATGTTGGTTAATTTCCAACTGTTTGGAGGTTTTCCTGCTGTTACTGATTTCTAGTTTGATTCCATCATGGTCAGAGAACATATTTTATATGATTCAATTTAAATTTGTTGAGGTTTGTTTTATAAGCTAGGGTAGTCTATTGTGGTGAATGCTCCATAGGCACTTAGAACAAATGTGCATTTTGTTGCTGCAGGGTGCAGTGTTCTATTAGGTTTAGTTGGTTTATAGTGCTGACCAAGTCTTTTATATCCTTGTTGATCTTCTACCTAGTTGGTTCCATACCTTACAGATATCCCTCAGTATCCCAAGAACATTGGGTTTCAGGATCCCTCTGTGGATCCCAAAAATCCACAGGTGCTCAAGTCCATTATATAAATGACATTGTATCTGCATATAAGCTATACACATCCTCCCATATACTTAAAGCAATCTTTAGACTACTTACAATACCTAATACAAGGTAAATGCTATGCAAGTTCAAACATATCAATGTAAATGATAGCTAGAGTAGCTATGTTCTGATTAGCATTTATATGGTCTTTTCCCATCCTTTTAAGTAGTTATACCATTATATTTGAAGTGAATTTCTTTTCTTTTTTTTTTTTTTTTTTGAGATGGAGTTCTCACACTGTTGTCCAGGCTGGAGAGCAATGGCCTGGTCTCGGCTTACTGCAATCTCCGCCTCCCGGGTTCAAGCAATTGTCCTGCCTCAGCCTCCTGAGTAGCTGGGATTATAGATGCCTGCCACCATACCCAGCTAATTTTTGTATTTTTAGTTGAGATGGGGTTTCACCATGTTGGCCAGTCTGGTCTTGAACTCCTGACCTTGTGATCTGCCTGCCTCGACCTCCCAAAGTGCTGGGATTATTACAGGTGTGAGCCACTGTACCTGGCCTGAAGTGAATTTCTTACAAACAGAATATTATAGGGTCATTAAAAATCAATTCTAGGCTGGGTGAGGTGGCTCAAGCCTGTAATCCCAGCACTTTGGGAGGCCAAGGCAGATGGATCACTTGAGGTCAGAAGTTTGAAACCAGTCTGGCCAGCATGGTAAAACCCCATCTCTACTAAAAATACAAAAATTAGCCAGGCATGGTGGTGCACACCTGTAATCCCAGCTACTTGGGAGGCTGAGGTAGGAGAATCACTTGAACTTGGGAGGTGGAGATTGCAGTGAGCTGAGATCATGCCACTGTACTCCAGCCTGAGCAACAGAATGAGACTTCATCTCAAAAACAAACAAACACTCTAATAATCTATGTCTAATAGGTTTGTTACTTACATTTAATGTATTGACATGTTTGAACTGAAGTCTACTGCTTTATTATTTGCTTTCTATCTGTTCCCTCTTTCATTCCTGTGTTTCTTTCTTTACTTTGTTTAGATCTGAACATATTTTAGTATTCCATTTTAATTTATTTATTGTGCTTTTGTATATATCTTTAAGTAGTTTTCTTAGAGGTTGCTCTAGATTATAATATACATATTTAATTTTTCATAGTCTACTTAGAATCAGTATTTTACCATTTCAAGTGGACTGTAGAAGTCTTACTGCATACAAAACCTTTTACCCTCTCTCCCCTTTATAGTATGGTTTTCTAATATATTGCATTTTCATGCATTAAACACCCCACTGAACAATATAATTTTTCTTTTAAACCATCACATATACATTAAAGATATCAAAAGAAAAAAAGTCCATTATATTTACCCAGATATTCACCATTTCTGTTGCTCTTCCTTCATTCTTAGTGTCCCAAATTTCCTTCTGTTCTCAGATCTCTTCTATCTGAAGAACTGCCTTCAGCAATTCTTTAAGAGAGCAAGACAGTCTCTTCATTTTCCTTCATCTAAGAATGCTTTTATTTCGCTTTCATTACTGACATACATTTTAACTGGATAAAGAATTTCAGTTGACAATGCTTTTATTTCTTCTTCTAGCCTCAATGCTTTATGGTGAGAAAATCCACTGTCATTCAGAATGTTGCTCTCTGGCTGCTTTCAAGACTTTTTCTTTGTCTTTATTTTTCAACAGTTTGATTATGATGTAAATAGCCCCACATTTCTTCTGGTTTATCCTTTTGATAAACTTGCTGAGCTTCTACAATGTGCAGGTTTATGTCTTTTGCCATAAAGTTTCCAGCCGTTATTTTTGGGTTTCTGAAGACACAAATACTTGACCTTTTGTTATTGTCTAACAGGTTTCTGGGACAAATAATTTTTTTTAATTTTTTCCTTCCATGTTCAGATTGGATATTTTCTAATGATCTCTCTTCAAGTTCACTGACTCTTTATTATCTCCATTTGCTATTAAGTCCATTTATTTATTGCATTTTATAGTTCTAAAATTTCCATTTGGCTCTTCTGTATTGGTTCTATTTCTTTTCTGAGGCTTTTTAGCTTTCCATTTGTTTCAAGAGTATTATCCCTTACATCTTGGAGCTTTTCTATATCTGCTATCCGCATCATCTTGGCACTGGTGTTTTTATTGTTATTTCCGAAGTGGGTTAACATTTTCCTAATTCTTCATATGTCGAGTAATTTGGGCTTATATTCTGGACACTGTGAAATTATAAAACTGTATCTAATCTAAATCTCATGGAGAAGGTTAACATTTTTGTTTCAGCAGGCCATCAACGTGGCTGGGTTCAAGCCATAAATTTCAATGAGCCTTCTGTGGTTTATGGTTTCAATGTCAGTACCATTTGCAATGCCTTTGCAGCGGTACTCAGATATGTCTCTCTATGGTCCACTCAGTGGCTAGCACAAGATCTTGGCTATGATCTATGTCTTAGTTCAGTTCACAGGGTCTTTGTTACATGTTTAGGATAAGTCTATAGATATGAGCTTAAGGGTGAACACAGGAGTTCATGAATATCTTTATAGGGTTGTTTTCCTGAGTTCCTTCCTCTCTGTGATCAACCTGGTACTTTCTAGTTCCCTAGGGCTCCTCATTTTCATCCTCTATTAATGCTTGATCTCTAGTTACTCTATTCTACCACATAATTCCCACAACTGTACGAGTATTTGTGACCAAGGGAGGACAGAGAGAAAAACAGGCAACAGGGGTTTGCCCTATCTTCTTGAAACCATAGCCTCTAACTGGAGAGGTTATCTTCCATTAGAGTTTTAGGTGCCTGTAGGTCCTTGGTGCCACTGTTCTTGCTGCCACTGCCATGGGGAGACCACTTGGTGGCTGGAGCATTAAATAACAAAGAACAAAAAAAAGAAAAAGAAAACCAGGGGATTTCCCCAACTGCCTTTGAGCATTGTAAGTTCTCTTTCCTGGAACTTAAGCCAGAATTAGAGAGCTTCCTTAAAGCTCTCTCTGTGCTCTGGTGCCTACTTCTAGGTTTCTGACTTCCTTGAGTCCTGGCTGTGAGAGAGCAGAGGACAAATGGGAGACTCACTGCTGGTTAGTTGGCACTTCAAATGATGTCTTCTTTTCCAATCTGCCTACTACTATTTTTTAAATAGCTGTTCCATACATTCTGTCCAGGTTTTATAGCTGTATTCAGTGGGAGACATGGAGCGGAGTATGCTTCCTCTATTTACCCAGAACTGCCTATTTTAAAGATAGATTTTCAACTACACTTTGTTTTATATTTTTTCCCTGAATATTAAAAGCAGGAGTAAAGTAGTCTTAGATGTTTTAAATTGTAAACATGATTGGCAGATTCATATTAGCTACCAAAGTTTGGCTGATTCACTTGAGTATTCACTATATACACTTTCCTAGAAATATGTGAAAATAACTTACCAGTTATCTCCACATGTAGCAACTTTGTTAAGAGTCTGTGATACTGCAATGCTGGTTAGATTATCTTTATGGTTATGAGCCTGAAATAACTCTTGACCAATCTCTCCAGTATGAGTAGAAATAACCACAAAATGTCCACGTGAAAAACCAATCATGATGTGGCCATCACCATACCTACAGCAACAAAGGCAACAACATTGTAAATGAGGAGACTGACTATCAGTGCAACACGGTAAATTGGCAAGTACCTTAAAATTAAGGAATTATAGAATATAATTTATCAAGGGCCTACTATGTGTCAGATAGTATGCTAGGTAGTTCTGCATACTAAATCACAGACCATGATTTAGAAAATGTTATGTATATAATTGAATGTTACAGACAAAAACTGAATACAATTATTAAGGAAAAACCTATAGATGTTCTTCTGTAATGAGCTTTTTGTACATACCAGTTAGAGCAGACATACCAATTATAGCAGACAATGTTGCCAAAATCCTGCTGAAATTCAAGATCAGCTGGATTATCTGGTTCATTCAGATTAAAAAGAAACAAAGCTTTCTTGCCAAGCACCACACTTATCTGCCAAAAAGATTAGGAGATCATGAAATGAGTTACTTTTTCATGAAAAGACCAATAAGCAAATCCAACAGCTGAACCCAATTTGTGAAAACAATAATAAGCCCAACTTAGATGTGCTAAATGCTGTAACTAGTATGATAATATGACTGACTAAAACAATGTACTCACTAATACATAATCTGGTAAGCATCCTTGGTTTTACACATCTTCAATATACCCTTTCAAATATACTAAAATTCCTTTGTGGAGTGACCTTTTAAAGTTTCTATACCCTTCACTAAAGTACTGCACAATACAATTGTAAGTCTGACAGTTCCACTGCAAATGAATTTATATTTAGATTATAAAGACTCTTCATTCTGTTCTGCTTTTCAGCCATCTGGGATTACAGGTACATACTCCTGTGGATAATTCAGCTCAGCTTT